TTCCAATGATCTACTCGTGGATTACTTTGATACCTGCCCAGCATTCCGACAGCAAAACTGATGTCTGGTCTAGTACAAGTTTGTGCATAATTCAAACTTCCAATAATAGATTCATAAGGAATGTGTTCCATTTGCTTGCATTCCAATTCATTCTTTGGACATTGTTTGAGACTAAATTTATCTCCATTCTGAATTGGAACGACATTTGCAGAGCATTCAGCCATGTTGTATCTCTCTAGGATCCAGTTAATGTATGATTTCTTAGATAATTCCAACAGTCCTTGTGATCTATCACGAAATATTTCTATTCCAATCACATAGGATGCCTCGCCCAAATCCTTCATTTCAAAGTTCTTAGAGAGAAACTCCTTGATTTGATGTAATAAACCAAGATCATTAGTACCAAGCAAGATATCGTCAACATATAGAACTAAAATTATAAACTTACTCCCACTAATCTTCAAATATATACATTGATCGACGATGTTTTCCTTAAATCCAAAAGATGTAATGGTATCATTGAACTTAATATACAATTGTCGGGAAGCTTGTTTAAGTTCGTACATTGACTTCTTTAATTTACACACCATATGTTCTTTTCCCTCAACCACAAAACCTTCAGATTGATCCATATAGACTGCTTCATCTAAATTCTCATTCAGAAAGGCAGTTTTAACATCCATCTGATGGAGCTCTAGATTATAATGAGCTACCATTGCCATGACAATCCTTAAGGAGTCTTTCTTAGAGACGGGTGAAAATGTCTCTTTATAGTCAACACCACTTTTATGAGTGAAACCTTTGGCAACAAGTCTGGCCCTGTGTCTTTCGATATTGCTATTAGAGTCGTGTTTAGTCTTCCAGACCCATCTATTACCAACTCTTTTACAACCTTCAGGAAAATCAACAAGGTCCCAAACTTCATTTTTATACATAGATTCCATCTCTTCTTTCGCGGCAGCTAACCATTTATCAGAATGCTCACTTTCCATGGCTTGTGAAAATGAAACTGGATCGTGATAGAGTCCTACATCAGATTCTAACTCGTGAAGATAAACCTCATAATCATCAGAAATTGTAGGTCTTCGATTTCTTGTAGACCTTCTTAATGCGATTTCTTGTGGTTCATCTATGTTAGGTTCATTCTCAATAACAATATTAGGTGGTGCTTGACCGTTCATTTGTTGTTCTTGCAAATCGTTATCATGCTCAACATGTGCAGGAGCAACAACTTGAGAAAAGGGTAGAGGCAAAGATATTTGCACTCTAACTTCTTGAATTTCCACATTACGTGGTTGTAAGCTCCCACTAACTTCACCATTCTCAATGAACCTAGCATTTCCAGTTTCAACAGTTCTCGTACTATGGTTAAGGCAATAAAATCGATACCCCTTAGATTTTTCTGGATAACCAATGAAGCAACCATTGATTGTTCGTGAGTCCAGTTTCTTTTCATGTGGATTATATATTCTTACTTCCGTTGGGAAACCCCAAACATGCAGGTGCCTTAAACTGGGTTTCCTTCCCATCCACAGTTCAAAAGGTGTCTTAGGAACTGCTTTACTAGGAACCATGTTTAACAAATACACAGCGGTCCTTAAAGCGTGCATCCACAATGATTTGGGTAAAGATGAGTTGCTTAACATACTCCTAACCATATCCATTAAAGTACGATTCCGCCTTTCTGCAACACCATTTTGTTGCGGTGTTCCTGGCATTGTTTATTGAGCATAAATACCACGTCTTTCTGGGAACTTAGCAAATGGACCAGGGCACTGTCCACTTTCATCATATTTTCCATAATATTCTCCACATCTATCAGATCTGACAATTTTCACCTTTCTTTGTAATTGCCTCTCAACTTCATTAATAAACACCTCAAGGGTATCTACCGATTGAGATTTTTCATGCATCAAATAGATATATCCATAACGTGAAAAATCATCGATAAAGGTAATGAAATACTTTTCTCCACCAAGTGATGGAACATCAAAAGGCCCACAAATATCAGTGTGTATAATTTCAAGGAGCTGTGAGCTTCTTGTGGCTGCTTTCTTAAGTGTGTGTTTTGTGTGTTTTCCTTTAATACACTCAACACAAATTCCAAAGTCAGTAAAATCCAAATGAGGAAGGATTTCATTCTTTACTAGCCTTTCCATTCTTTCTTTGGATATGTGACCCAACCGTTTATGTCACAAGTAAGCAGAGGATTCATCAAACAAACCACGTTTAATACCAACATTATGATGCAAGGTTAAGAGAGTCTCAGCGAATAGGGTATCAAGTTTTAGTTTGTACAAACCATCAACAAGGGTACCAGAACCCAATAAAACATTCTGTCTGAACAAACTAATAGAACCATTTCCAATGTTCCAAAAATACCCAGCCTTATCTATTTGAGACACCGAAACCAAATTACGAGAAATAGAAGGAGCATAAAGGGTATTGACAAGGTCCAAATGATGACCAGTATCTAAAACCAAACGATAAGTCCCAATAGCTTCAACTGGAACTTTGGCTTGGTTTCCCATATAGATGAACTTCTCATTTTGCCTTATGGTTTGGGTCGTAAGGAATCCCTACATCGTTTTGGAAACATGAATGGTACAACCAGTGTCAACCCACCAAGTATTATAGGGAACCTCAGTTAAATTTGATTCGAAACATACTGAAGCACTAGGCTTACCCTTTCTTTCGAACCATGCCTTTCTTTTTAAGCAATCTTTCTGATAATGTCCGACTTTCTTACAGAAGCGGCATATATCCTTACTTGGTTCCTTCTTGTGGATTTTGACAGATGACTCATTAAGCTTTGATAGTCCTTCCTTGCCCTTCCCATTCATGTTCCATGGTTTCTTTCCAGCTCCTTTATGACCAACAAGATTGGCAGAATGATTTCCTGGTTTCTTAAGCCTTGCTTCCTCTGTAACTCATGCACATTCCATTTATCCTTTAGAGTATTGTAATGTGCCATACTCTGGAGGTAAGGAATTAAGGATGAACGTTACTAGGAAATTTTCATTCCTTTCTTTAGTCTTGCTGCAATATTCGACATTTCAACGATATGCTCATCCATGGTACGAGAACCATCAAACTTCATGGTGGTTAGCGTACCCATCAGTGTCCCAACAAGCGACTTATCAGCAGACTCAGATTGAGAGCTTTCTTTCACGGAATTCATAAATTCCTTAGCACTTTCCGTATCATTGAAAGTTGACTTAATGTTGCTTGCTGCAGTCATTTGCATAAACATTAGGTTTAGTCTGTTAGATCTTTCCCAAGCTTTATGGAAAGACTTTTCCACAGCACTGCTAGCATCAGTAAGAGAAGCAGGTTTCTCACTTAAGAGTGCCAAATCAAGTTCCAGAACACCGAGGTGAAACTGAATTTGTTCAGCCCATTCAGAGAAGTTGAGGCCATTAAACTTAACAACAGACGTGGCTTGCGAATGAAGAGAAACAGGAACAGATGCTGCAAACATATATAACATGTACTCACACATTAATGCCTTGAGCAATAAGCATAAACTATAATACAGATTCGGAAGCATAAACATAAAATATATATTGGTGCTACCTTTGGGGAAAACAACAATATATATGCGATAAATAATCATAATTGATGCTCAAAATAATCATATAATTGGTGATAGACATACTCAAATTAGATATACTTGCAATCTTTAGATATACTAAATATATCTAACCAAGCATATCAATTTACCACGATAATGTTGATGAATTATAAAACGAGCAATCAACCTTTGGGCGATTCAAAATATTTTATAATCACGAACTTCAACTTAAAAGCATCACATAAACATTAGCAGTTGAACTTGATTCAACTTCAAATCTATAAACCTTCTAATTTGGCCACTTTTGTGACTAACAAATTAATCATAAAGTAGATATCAAATGTAAAATCTTAACTTAAGGTAAGACAGTTGTTAATAATAATTTGAAATACGCAGACCCAAAAATTGAGTCTCTAATTGCATACTGTTACTAATGGAAAAACAATATTAATCATCATCGAGACAAACATAAGGCTTTATCAACCTTCCCAAACTCTTAATTAATCGAACGCATATACAAAAGCACTTGTAATCATCCCTAATTGATTTTATCATGATTTTAGTTGAAAAGGAAATAAAGGCAAGATACTATCATCGCATATCATTATAATTGAGGAAACAAACATATCAATATATCATGTAAGCATAAACATACATGCACTGCACATATATGTTCTTGATAAACGACGAATAATTGCTCGACAGACAGAAGAACCAACCGCAAAGAAGTTAAATACAATTGTGTACAAATCTCGAACGCGTGGACTCAATAGAATAAACAGATGATCAATCAGAAGCATCAACAAGCTTTAATCATGCATAAGCGATTGATATAAACGCAGCGGAGACTAATCTAGCATAATACATAATCAAAAATCATCCATTCATAGAAACCAGGCTCTGATACCACATGTAAGCAAAGATCATAATAGTATGGATCTTAGAATTAGATGATTTCACGAATCGGTAATAGATCAAGGAAACCTACCTCGATCCATGACGAGAGCGACGGCGGCGGCTTGAGTAGTAATCACCGGAATTGAGTTTCTCCCTCTTGACCCCTTTAGGTTTTAGGTTTAGAGATTTCTGTGATGGCTAAGAAATTCTACGTAATGGGTTGAGAGATGACCAATCCTAGGGTTTCTTTATATAGACCCACCATCAGGGTATATTAGGAATTTACCTTTCATTAACCTAACTAATATAGGACTTACCTTATATATTAAACCATTAAGTGATAATTACACTTGGGCCATAATTATTCCCTAGTGATCTATATGGGAATTGGGATTACATCTACCACAAAAAATTGCCTGGCTCCGTTCAAAAGGCTGCTTTCCAAGCTAAACAACGTCGCGTCGGCCGGTGATGGTGATGCGGAGTGGCGCCTCCGCCGCCGGTTAGCTGTGTGGTTTCTGACGCCATCATGCCATTTACGCTTGATGCTTCTAAGGAGCTGCGGATTCCTAATGTGTTGTTCCGGGCGACGAGCGCTTGTGGGTTCGTGGCTTGTTTACATTTTCGCCAGCTCCTCCAAAAGGGCATTGCGCCGCTCAAAGGTAATTTATACATGTTAGTTTGTGCTACTTATATGAATCATTGTTGAATTTTTTTTAATAACTCGAGTTATTGATGAATTCTTGAGAATTCACAGAATACTACTAATTCATTTCGATTTGAGGATTTTCATCTTACATGTGTCAAAAGTATTATTTATAAACTTTTAATCCATAGTGGGAGCAAATCTTTAATTGAATGAAGTTGAAATTCATCTCCAATTCATTTGAAGATTCATTTGATTCAAGGATTTTGATATAAAACTTGTCAAAAAGTAATGGTGGGCGACGGTTCAATGTACAGAAGGAATTTAAGTAATTAACCAAACTTTTTTCTACCTATTTTGGTTTTTAATAATTGCTAACTTACTGTATCATTGGGCAAGAATTTAACCACATCTATGTAACTATATATTGACATATGCAAGTTACTTAACAAATGGGTACATGGAAACTCAAGTTGACTGGATGGATCCCTGGCATGGAAGGCATTCCTTTGAAGTATCTCCCAAGTTTTGTCGCCACAACAGATCCAAACGACATCATGTTCCATTTCGTCCTAGGAACAAACTAAATGAGCTCGAAATGTATCGGCACTGATTTTCAACACATTTGATAAACTAGACCAAGAAGTCCTCCAGTCTCTCTCCCTAACCTTCCCTCCAATCTACACACTCGGCCCTCTCCACCTCTTGAAAGGCCAAGAAATCGGCTTGGAGTATCTTCAATTGAACCTATGGAGAGAAGAAACTGGTTGCCTCGAATGGCTCGATCAGAAAGTACCCGACCCAGTTGTCTACGTCAATTTTGGAAGCACCACGGTCATGACATCTCATCAATTGGTCGAGTTCGCTTGGGGACTAGCGAGTAGTAACAAGAATTTCTTGTGGGTCGTTAGGCTGACCTAATAAGGGGCAATTCCGCGATTCTTCCCCAAGAGTTTCTGGACGAGACCAAGGAGAGGGGGCTATTGGCGAGCTGGTGCCCTCAGGAGAAAGTGGTTAAACACCCATCGGTTGGAGGGTTCTTGACGCATTGTGGATGGAATTCGACGCTCGAGAACTTGACGAGTGGCGTGCCCATGATCTGTTGGCCTTTCTTTGCCGATCAACAGACTAATTGTTGGTTTAGCTGTAACAAATGGGGTGGTGGACTTGAAATTGACAGTGTTATTACGAGGACTGAGATTGAGAGGCTTGTTGAGGAGTTGATGGATGGGGAGAAAGCGAAAGAGGTGAAGAAAAGAGCCTTGGACTGGAAGAAATTGGCGGAGGAGGCAACTGAAGATGAGATTGGGCAGGCTTATCTGAACTTGGAAGACATGATCAATAAGATTCTATTGAGTTCTGAGGAGAAGGTAAATTGAAGATTGTAGGGATTCGTTCACAGGATAAATTTGGTACGAATGAGGTGTGGAATGGTTCCATGAGAAAATATCGGTATACCATAAGTTTTAATTTACGAGCTAAATAAAATTTGTATCATCTTCTCAAGATCTTATGTATGCTCTAAACTTGGTCAATTTTTCTTTCATTTGCTGCATAATTACGTGGAGAACTAAATTTTAATCACAAAAAAGTTTAAGAACACCACAAAATTGGCATATACATTAAGTATGGTTGGGAAAATAGACCAGATTGATTTAACAATTATGGACCAAACTTGACCGTATAGTTTGGTGCGGACCGTAGACCATTAAGAATGTTTTGGTCTAATCCATTTTATGTATTATAACATGTGTTGATTCCTTGTTTTGTTCCAGAATACGGTTTACCGGACCAAACCGGATCTAACCCACTTCCCAATTCGTGTTAGCAACTCTCTCAATCCCTCAATAAGACCCAAGTACCAACCCTAATTTTGAGAATCATGTTCATTGTTTCATTCATAAACCATACTCCGCGATAGAGTAGAGACGATCGCATCTCTATATGACATTATGTTAATGTTATATGAGGTTATGATACAAATTGAGTTGCCATGACTTTGTGTTTTTGTTATTTACTTGGATTTATGGTATCAAAAGTATGCATGTGTGTTGGAATTTATGTTGGAAAAATAGTTTTTTGTGTTATTGGTTCGATTTTTTGTGTGGTTGACTAAATAAATTGTTCGTTTTTCGCTTAGTGTGTTCTGCAAGGTTCAGGTCGTACCAACCAAAATACATAGGTGTGAACCGATATGGATTGTATAGTATTTGATCGGGTCACTAAACTTACTCAAACTTCTCGATCTGGCTCACTCGTCTTTGTTTCCAGACCCCAAAGTCTTGTTGATTCGTACACTTAGCACACAACCACTTTTGATCCCTTGTTTTACCAAGTTTGTTGGTGTATATTGAGACTTCTTGTGCATGCCACCATGTCCACCATATTTAGTTGACATATTACAGCATTGTCCATCCTTTTCTGCCCTCCTAAATTTATGCACATCATGAGTGGGTTGAGCACATTGCATAATGCATATTGTTTGACATGCCACTCAAACTATTCTTTGTCATGCTTTTACCTTTACCCAGCCATGTGCAGGTTCAATATTTTGTAAGTTGTCTGACTTGCACCCCAATCCATATTTGTTGGTTGGTGACATGTCCCCCTATCCAAACTTTGGGATAGTAATTTTTCTTCTTGTTGGATACTTCGGCAAATTGTCTAGTAAAAGATCACATCAAGATAGACCAACTTTTTTTGCTTTGAATTTTGGCATGTGGTCACTATCCCAACACCAAGAAGCATTTTTGGTAACAATCGTTGCAACATCTCCGGACTTGGTAGAATGTGATAAATTATTGATCTTGCCAAGAAATGGGTTGGCATGCCCCTGACAGCTTAACTTGATCATTACTGTCAAGTTCCCCCTAATACTTCTCCTTTTCAATATATTCAAAGATGTGTTGTTTACCACATTTGCGATTTTCGATCTTGCAAGACAGACATCTACGTGTACTTCTTTCTAATGGCTTATACAAGCAATACCTAGCTTTTGAGAACTTGCAAACAATAGTGTCCACATGAAAAGACACATTTGCATTGTTTGCTTAAACGACAATGTTGAATCCAAAGTGGGGGAGGATGTCCTATTGACATTATCTAATCCATTACCAATTTCAATATTAAGAGATTGAGATTCCTGGATATTTTTACTAATCAAGTATGACAAGTTGGACTGATCACTACACCTTGACCACCACATTGTCGGTTGTCCATCAAAGTAGTCAGATGTTCAACTTTTTCATCAACCAAATGTACTTGACTAGGATATGGAGAGAGCTCCACAAACTACAAAGAGAAAGGAAAAAGGGACAGTTGAGACAAGTTGTCTTCTTCATTTGATTGTGAATACTTATTCTAATGATAATACCACAAGTCTAGAACCTTAAGGTCTTCGATTCAAATCCCTTAAATAGTAACTAAACTAAAAAAAACATATCTCATGCTTTATTTAAAAAAATATCGGCACATGGATGATAACGTGTTTGACCGATTTGGCCATTCTTGTATAGTTTCTGGAGACATGTCGCACTAAACATGCATGGTAGAGCAATTAAGAGCATCTACATTGGAATTGCAATTAGAATTGCATTATGACATGACATTCATTTGCAATTGCATTGATGTAGATGACAATTGCATCTTTGCAAGCTTGCATATAATGCAATTATGGAATGCAAGCCACATCATCTTTTTTATTATTAAATTATTCATTAATTTTATTATTTGAGTGTTTATGTTTTAATAAATTAAATCAAAAAAATTAGTTGCAATTGCAAGTTAATTGCATTATTGTGGTGCAATGCAAGTAAGATGAGTTGTATTGCGAAAAAAATGAAATAACAATAAAAAAAATGCAATTGCAAATGCCATTGCACCAATGGAGATGCTCTAACATCCGGTTAAAATAATGTACCAATAAGATAGTGCTTGACACATGTCTTCCAACTCGGAATTCATAATCTAAGTTAAGAAATTAAATAAATAAAAAATTCCAATTATTAGGAAATTAAATAAATAATTCATTACATATAGAATGAAAAATCATTTCAAATTTTCAAAGATCCAATGGATCCCAACAGTTTGCTCCATCCCCAATATCGCATATGGTCACTCACTCACTCGTCTAATTTGATTTGGTAGTTGAAAGTATTGTGTAAGATCTAAAGATGGTTTGAAGTATTCTAGGTTAAATTTGTGAAGCCAGTAAATTGTCAAGAAATGAGACTAGTACGGTATGTGTTTAGAAATTTTCACATCTTACTATATTGGTGGTGATCAACCATGGTGTAGCATTGTAGGTCCAATGCAATGCTCTATTAGTTTGTTCATGTATTTACTAGATCAGATTACCCACAAACGTATGTGCATGTATGCTTCATTAAAATAGCTTGATAATTAATATCAAAATCATACCAGAAATCTATTTATCTTTTACAAAATCATATGCCGATCACATACACGTATTTAGCTTCACCAATACAAATAATATAACATTTGCGATGAGACTCATAAATAGAGATGATACTGGTATAATATATATACAATAAATGACAAATGAAAATAATACAAAGAAAATATAATCCTCCACCTCCCAAAGGACAAATGCATATTGCCAATCACCTTCAAAATAGATTCTTTGGCACATACCTGTAAAATCTTGTTATCACAATTAGTCATGTATTTGAATCGTCTAAATAATAATTTTAGTCGAATAAATATTATATTTGTTGAACCTCATAATACGCTGAATGGTGTGCATTCAACTAAGAATTAGATCTAGTGCAATATCGACATGTATGACCTACAATATTAGTTTTTTGTAGTTAGATAATTGATTAGCATGTTAATCAGAACAACGTGGGAACCCTTCCCTTGTTTGGCGGACAAATCATTCATCTCGGAAAGTTCCTTTTGGCAGAAAATGATCAAATCATGAGATTAACAATGGCAAATCTCCGCGATTAATTTTTTAAATTACACTTTCGTACTTCTCGCTGATTTAGCCTTGTGGAACGATTTCCAGTCCAATCGGCGGTTGCCTCTTCTCTCTCTCCCTCCCTCCTGAAAACCTGGCACCAAGATCAAACCAAATATATATTTTTTTAAAAAAATCCTCTGTCACAGAAAACCAACCAGAAAATTCGTTCTACCGAGAAGAAAAAAAATCCCCAATCCATTTTCCGTTATCCTTCCGATTACTACTCCGCCAGCGAAAATTCGGAATCCAATTCCTTTCCCATTTCCCCTCCTCCCGATTTCGTTTCCCAATCCACCGCCGGAGCTGCCAACGAACTTCTCCCGATCATGGGTTTCCGCGCTCTTTTCCAGCGGAAGAAGTCCAAGAAATCCGCCTCCTCCGACGACTCCCCCGCCGCGGTGGCCTCCTTCGCCGGATCTCGCTCCCCGCCGCCGCCGATGCTGAGGTGCTCGGTCGAGGAGCTGGAGCAAGTCTTCCGCAAGTTCGACGTCAACGGCGACGGCAAGATATCCGCCGCCGAGCTCGGCTCCATCATGTCCAGCCTCGGCCAGAACGCCAGCGAGGAGGAGCTCCAGAAAATGATCACCGAGTTCGACGCCGACGGCGACGGGTTCATCGATTTCAAGGAGTTCGTGGAGCTGAACACTCAGGGGGTCGGTTCCGAGGAGGCGATGGTGAATCTGAGGGACGCGTTCTCCGTCTACGACATCGACGGCGACGGCTCGATTACCGCGGAGGAGCTGCACAAGGTCATGGGCAGCCTGGGCGAGGATTGCTCCATCGCCGAGTGCCGCAAGATGATCAGCGGCGTCGATAATGATGGCGACGGGACGATTGATTTCGAAGAGTTTAAGATGATGATGACGATGGGATCGAGATGGGATTCCACTGAAGATCCCGGAGCTGTGAAGGCCTAGCTTTTTTTCCCCCGGGCGGCGGCGAAAACGTAGATCTGTAGGTATCCAAAAAATTCTTCTTCAGTTTTGATTTTCCATGCCATTTTCCCCCTTTTTTCCTTCTCCGTTTTCCTCCCCTTCAATTGACGGGAGGAATCACCATATAAATGCTATTGTGAATATCTCTCTGATGCAATACATAACAGCCATTGCATTTCTCTCTGCATATCTGGATCCTTTTCATGGAAACTCCATTGATGGAATTGACCCAGAGCTCTGTTCCTCGTTATTTGTTGAATTAAATTGGAATCGATTGACTACTTTCCCTAAGTAATTGAACTTGCATTGATTCTGGGGAAAGCCATTGCAGGCTAAGATAGCTTGGATGGATAATTTATATGCAGTGATGATTTTACAATAGAAAGCATAGAACTTCAGACATTGTTTTCATTTGGGTTCTAGCTATAGTTTAGCTCTGTATAACTTGATGACGATTCTGAATTTATCAGTCAAATCCACCTCTGTCGACCCATGAGCTAGCTACCATTCGAATGAGTGGAGCAGTGATGCTAGAATGTAATTGAGCATCTCTGGCCTGAACTCCAATGGACTGTACGTCCCAGAGCTGTGGATCCCTGTACATTGCATAAGCAATTAAGCAACGATGAACACGGTGGCTCTCTTAGGAATGGTTTATCTACCTATTCTGCAGTCCTTGGTAGGACGTGACACCAACATAGGCATGGCTGGATGCAGACAGAATGCCTCCTTGATAACCGCATTTAGGTAGTGTAATCTGGGGAGATGGAACTCCACGACATTGCTTCTTCCTACTACTTCTTCTAACTCTGCATATTTTTCGCATTGCTTTCGAATATTGCATCAGCTCTGCTCTGTCATTGTCCACTCTATTGCGGTCGATTTTGTGTCTGTTCCACCGATGATAGAATCCTGCTACAGAGATACATTGGTATACACGCTTAGTCATCTTTTCTGTTACGTCCTTCAAATTGAATGGAATATTTAGCTAAGTTCAGTTGCACTTAAGAAGATTAAAGGAATGAAATCGCCTAAACATACTTTACCATGAGATTGAGAAGGCCTTTGAGTTGGTTGTCCGTAGTTGACGAATCAGCAGCCTGATCTCCATGGTTGTTGAGGTCTAGTATAAGTTGCAATAAGTCTTGTGCCTCTTTGTCCACGCTGTTGTCGTCGCCACCTTTCCTAAGCTTCCGCCTCTCCACAATTGTGGAGCTCAGAGTTCGATCCAAACTCTGCAATGTCTCCTTGGATTTCCTCCCCACCCTCTGCAGGTCAAACCGGCCGAGTGCTGAAATCAGGTCTCCATGTGTGGTGCTATCCCATGGCATGCTAAAAAGAGAGTTGGATATGGTCACAATCACAAATGCCAATTGGCTGAGAAGTCCAAATCTTTACCTTACCTGTGTCCTTCTGGTCCACATCCTCAATAGCCTTCTCAGCTTGTAGGAAGCATTGAGCCTGCCGCTGCTCAATAGCTCTCGAGCGAAGACCTTCAGGTCTCATCTGAGAATGTTACGTATCGCGGACTCGTTTGGCCAGCGATGGTGAGGTAATCACGACATAGATTTAGTCTCCGAGCCAGTGCTTGTAGATGGGGCCGTAAACTCGGACCAGCTCTGTGAAGCTCTTGTGGAGGAGATGGGTGCCTAGAAATGGTAAGTGCCCTACTACTGGTAATCCGCGTGGGCCGGGGTGCAAAGGGGCTTATCGTGTCTTGTTGGCTTTCTTCAGCAACCAGAATGCCAAGATTGACGCTGCAATGAACGCAATGGAAGCTGGCAAGCTGCCACCAGTAGTTTCTCCTGCGGCTTTCTTCATTCTCGCACCAAATGAGGTGAATTGTAGGGAAGTTTGGAGAGAGGTGAAACTGAGATGCAATGCGAGTAAAAAGTGGAGGGAAGAGGTGTTATATGGGCCTACTTTTATCATTTGCATGAGTCATTTGCAAAAAGTCAATTGATGGCGTTTGAGAAATATAGACATTTGTGAAGGTAGATATAACAAATACATTATTGTTTAAAATTTTGTAAATGAGTCATTTGTGTTCCCATTTTGCCCTTACTTTTAATCAATATGTTCCATTATCTTGTTTTCTATTCTAATAAAATCAACCACGTAAACAGAATTATTTTGAAATCAACAAAACATATTATTTAAATAATAAATCTATTTTTAACTTTCTTTATAAAATGTAACGTCTCCATCACTCTCGAATTTTAAGCTAATTACAAATGATGGTGTTTGTGACTTTGTGACGTAAAAGATACGCCGCTGCGTAGATGACCCTCTGTGTTGCTTGTATAATTTGGGAGAAAAAAATCCGAGAGAAGACTAAGCAATGGCGTAGAAAACAAATAATCGAAAGAGAAGGATTGAAGTGAGTTTACATAAAATAAGTAATGACATATTTGGAACATTTGGACTAAACAATGAGTCATTTGAGACTTTCGTATGAACGAAATTACTCATGCATTTTTTTCTTTGGCAAACGTGTTATTTGACATCAAATGACTCAATTGAATCATTTGATACCAAATGACTCGTACAAATGACTCAAACAAACAACCCTTAGTTAGTACATTCCTTACATTTTCCATCCAAAATTTATGATAAGCTTGGTGTTGGTGTGCCGGATGCATACTTGAGTAAATTTGTAGTGTTTGAAGTCAATTGATTGACTTTAAGGCGATTGCACAAAATCTCACATGTATGCTATGTTAGTTTTCCTCATCCGAGCGTTAAGGAAATTCAAAGCTAATAGCTGAATTCTGGTGGGGTAGATAAAAGGAAGAGCGAAGAATACATTGCGGGAATTGGAAGAACTATTAGAAAAATGAGTTTGAGTAATTTTGTTATTTGGACTAATTTGTCGGTTTATTTATGTTTTATTACTTAGTATGCATTTTAGGGGTTTTTGGGAGTGTTTGAGTGTTTTGGTTAGGAAGTATTCGTATGCGGTAGTTTGTGGGGTTTTAACAGGCTTCATATTCTGTAATTAGTTAAATTTTCTCATTAAACAATTAGAAAATAAAAATTCTATAAACCTAATCTTCCTCTCTCTAGGGACAAAAAAAAATCTTCCTCTCTCTAACCAAAGCCCCTTTTCCCTCTCTCTTCTCTTCTCGCCGTCAACCAAACACTATATATGTGTGTTTTCAGGATGAGAGAAACTCAAAAACACATTACAAAAGTGTAGAGATAGAGACCAAACACTATTCGGGTGTTTTCGGGTTGAGAGAAGATCAAGCTTATGAGTTGTGAGGAATGGTGGTGCGAGTTACTCAAGAGGGCTATAGATGATGAGCTATGTTCGGTACTAATCAGGATATGGTTTATATGGAATAAGATAACAAATATTTATACAAGGATCACCATGTTGGGTGAGGTCAAAAGTTGAGGAAAAAATGTAAAAGTATATTTGTTTTACCACACTTTAGTTTTGAAGGAGAAAAAAAATTATAAACATCAGACAAGTATAGACAATATATCCAATCATCAATTTAGATCTGTTTTGGTTTGAGAACTTTTTTTTTTACAATAGAAGCACTTGTATTGCATTGAGAATCACAGTTACAAGGAGTGGGATAAACACAATGAAAGCAAAACAACAATGAACTCAAAAGTCAGAGCAATCCCAACCAAAAGCAAAAGCCAGAAAGAACTGGAAAAGATTGAATCCAACAGAAGAATCCAAAACAGAAGGCTATCAAAGTGAACCCAGAACCCCTTGCTTCCACAACAATCAGCACAGCACAAGCAAGGATTCAACTCGCCCGAAACCAGACAAACCCATGGCTATTGAACATTGCAACGCCATAAGCCGCCACCTGGGGATCGTTCAAAGACAACCCATCACAGTGAATCTCATGGAAGAGAAAACTCGGCGGTGAGCAGGCTGAAACCGGGATGCTCTGAGCTGAAAGAGGCCGAGGAAGCCGGAGGCATGGATGACCAGGAACCGGGAAAGAGAAGATTCATCTTCACCATCTCCAGAGAACCAGCGAACCACAACCCACAACACCAAAAATGACACCAGACCCCCACAACAATCAACCTACAGGAATCAAGCAAACCAAAGGTAGAAGGAAGGGAGGAACAGTGAATCTGTCCACCAAAAGAGATGAGCACACCAACATGGAGCAGACCCCCAACAGCAAACCACCATTAGAAGCTCCCCAAGCTGCAATTTTTGGATCCAAGGAGCAAGGCCAAACAGATCTACGAACCAGAAAAACACTATGGATAAAACCACTTGGAGAAAGACCACAAGGATCTGGAAAAAGCCAACAAGGGCCGGAGAAAGGCAGCAGGACAAACAAGAAAGAAAAAAACAGGAAAGAAAAGAGGTTGGGCCACTGCCGGACACCCAGGGGAACCGGCGGCAGCCCTGAATGGAAGTGGGGAAAAGTGAAAAACCAAGGTTTAGAGAGAAGGGAGAGCTTCAGATTCAAAATAAAGTTGGTTTGAGAACTAGAAACCTCACATTTTAACCTCAAATGCAACAACATGTACTTTTATTTTGATCTAAATCAAAACGTAATGATTGTTAGTAGAATATATGAGTTTTTTTTAGGGAAGTAGAATATATGAGTTAGGACTTAGGAGTTAGGAGTTAGTGACTCTACAATAGTACAATGCCATATGCCGAATGCAATTAACAGAGAGAATCCAAAAATACAAGAAAAAAATATAGTAAATATGATACACTCTCAAATAGAGAAAAAAAATATGGAAAACAATAAATAATGAAAATTATAAAACAAGTATGAGAAAATTATACACAAAGAATAAGGAGTTCGGTTTCAGCAATCAGTTCTCCGTTGCACTTGTTTTTATTTTTGTAGGAGAAATTTTTTTTGAGCCTTTTCTAAATTAATTATTTTTTTCCTACAAAATAAAAAATTGATATAGTTTTTTTGTGCGTGAACTAATTTGTGTGATATTTTGAAGATACGGAAATACGGAATCCCCTAAACCTGTATCTCCCGCCACCACCGCGAGTCCGTGACGGGCGATTTGTCGATTCGATCCTTGAATTCGACGGTGAATCGTCGAGTGCGAGCAGTACTTCCCGAAGCGGGGGTGACAATAAGGAAGACGCGAGAGCCGGAAGCCAGTTCCGGCAGTCGCTCTGCACTCCGCCTCGGCCAGTCCATTCCCTTCTTCCTGCCGGCCGCCGGCCGCCGCCGCTGTGGGCTGTCTCTCAGTTCGTGAATAAAAAGCCCGTAGCTCTCAGTTACCCTTCAATAAGGTACTCTTGCTCCCGTGGCTTGAATTCTTTACGGAAATCGTCTTCGCCACTGACTCTAGAGTCTGGAGTCCTGATCGTGTCTTTAGCTACGTTTCGCCTTTGTTGCTTCCGATTACGAAGCAGCCGAGCAAGCTACTGCGTTGTCTGTCTTCTCTTCCTTCGCGACTTTGTCACCGGTAATCTCTGGAATATTCTCTTCTTACTGCCAAACACCAAAGTTCCCGCAATATTTTTCTGAACCTTAACCTACTTTAGGGTTTTGGAAATTACAATCTATTGGCTGAACAGGAGGGAGAAGAAGAAATACAAGTGAATAAATTCTTAAGGTTGGTAGCGATTGAAGAGTAATGTCGATTGCTGCCCCTGGTCAGCTCAACCTGACTGAGTATTCTTCATGGGGATCCCGAACTGTTGATAACTTTGAGAAGTTGGAGCAAATTGGCGAGGGAACCTATGGGTATGTTCTCTTTCCTCTCCTTCCTTCAAAGAAGATGTTCGTCAGAAGATAAAGGGGACTGATTGTATCCAGTCATGAACATTGCCTTTACGACAATTTGCTGTGTCCTGATGGGAACAACTTCACCCTTTCCAGTGGTGTTGTAGAGATCTTTCCTTGACAACATATTTTGAGGAATGACTTCTCTAGCATGGTTGAGGATTGTCTTGCTAAAATGTTCCATGATTTTTCTACTTTCTTTAGTGGTGTTCTATTGAGTACACCAGCTGAGCTTAGTACTCTAGAATCTAGATTATCATCTATCTTTAGGTTTGCATATGGAACAAGATAGCTACTCTGTTTGGGAGGAAATGATTTTGAATGGCTAATCACTCTTCTTCTCTTAGAATATGCATTAATGTTATGTCAAGTGAAGAGATAGCTTGAACTTGTTTGATTCTAGTGCACACATATAGTATATTGATACTGCGACATTTTGTAATCAGTATTAGTTTGTTGTTGCAAAATATGATTTTCTAGTTTTGGCTCTTGCTTGTTTCTATGACTTCTCAAATTCCGTAGGGAGTAATCAGTATTCAAGGTTCTTGGTGTTTTAATTGTTGACAGAAACTTGATTCCGGCTTTTTGTCATTATCTTCTTCTTGCAGTCAAGTTTACATGGCTCGTGAGATAGCAACAGGAGAAATAGTTGCTCTGAAGAAGATAAGAATGGACAAGGAGAGAGAAGGGGTAAGTTATATGTCTTGCTAGGTGTAGTGGCATTTTCTTGGTAATGCTTTTTAGACCATAAACTTTATTTGAATCTCTAGTGTTATGGTGATGAGATGAAACTAATCTGCTGCTTGATCTACCCCTGTATAACTATTGATGCAACTTCTTTTTTTCTTCTTATTTTGAAGTTTCCTATAACTGCCATTCGTGAAATCAAAATTCTAAAGAAGCTCCAACATGATAACGTAATAAAGTTGAAAGAGATAGTGACATCTCCAGGTAATGCTGCCAATCTTGTTGGGGTTTTGGATGTGTTATTGCTTTTGATGCCTCCAATTTTCCCGTAACACACTGTTAACCACCTACTTGGAATTCT